AGAGTGTCCCACAAGAGTGTCCTACAAGAGTATCCCACAAGAGTTTCCTACAAGAGTGTCCCGCAAGAGTGTCCCGCAAGAGTGTCCCACAAGAGTGTCCCACAAGAGCGTCCTACAAAAGTGTCCCACAAGAGTGTCCCGCATGAGTGTCCCACAAGAGTGTCCCACAAGAGTCACAAGAGTGTCTCACAAGTGTGTCCCACAAGAATGTCCGACAAGAGTGTCCCATAAGAGGGTCCCACAAGAGTGTCCCACAAGAGTGTCCCGCAACCGTGTCCCACAAGAGTGTCTCACAAGAGTGTCCCTTAGGTCCTTTAAGAGTGTGCGATAAGAGTGTCCCACAAGAGTGTCCTACAAGAGTGTCCCACGAGAGTTTCCTACAAGAGTGTCCCACAAGAGTGCCCTACAAGAGTGTCCCACAAGAGTGTCCCACAAGAGTGTCCTACAAGAGCGTTCTACAAGAGTGTCCTACAAGAGTATCCCACAACAGTTTCCTACAAGAGTGTCCCACAAGAGTGCCCCACAAGAGTGTCCTACAAGAGTGTCCCACAAGAGTGTCCCACAAGAGTGTCCCGTATGAGTGTCCCACAAGAGTGTCCCACAAGAGTGTCCTACCAGAGTGTCCCACAAGAGTGTCTCACAAGAGTGTCCCTTAAGAGTGTCCCACAAGAGTGTCCCACAACAGTGTCCCACAAGAGTGTCCTACAAGAGTGTCCCACAAGAGTGTCCCGTATGAGTGTCCCACAAGAGTGTCCCACAAGAGTGTCTCACAAGTGTGTCCCACAAGAGTTTCCTACAAGAGTGTCCTACAAGAGTGTCCTCCCACAAGAGTGTCCTACAAGGGTGTCCCACAAGAGCGTCCTACAAGACTGTCACGTAAGAGTGTCCCACAAGAGTGTCCCACAAGAGTGTCCCACAACAGTGTCCCACAAAAGTGCCTCACAAGAGTGTCCCTTAAGAGTGTCCCACAAGAGTGTCCTATAAGAGTGTCCCACAAGAGTGTCCTACAAGAGTGCCTCACAAGAGTTTCCTACAAGAGTGTCCCACAAGAGTGTCCCGCAAGAGTGTCCCACAAGAGTGTCCTACAGAGTGTCCCACAAGAGTGTCCTGTTAGAGTGTCCCACAAGAGTTTCCTACAAGAGTGTCCCACAAGAGTGTCCCACAAGAGTGTCCCGTATGAGTGTCCCACACGAGTGTCTCACAAGTGTGTCCCACAAGAGTGTCCTGCAAGAGTGTGCTACAAGAGTGTCCCGTAAGAGTGTCCTACAAGAGTGTCCCACAAGAGTGTCCTACAAGAGTGTCACGTAAGAGTGTCCCACAAGAGTGTCCCACAAGAGTGTCCTATAAGAGTGTCCCACAAAACTGTCCTACAAAATTGGCCCACAACACAAGAGTGTCCCACAAGAGTGTCCCACAAGAGTGTCCCACAAGAGTGTCCTACAAGAGTTTCCTACAAGAGTGTCCTGTAAGAGTGACCCACAAGAGTGTCCTACAAGAGTGTCTCACAGAGTGTCCGACAAGAGTTTCCCATAAGAGTGACCACAAGAGTGTCCTACAAGAATGTGCGACAAGAGTGTCCCGTATAAGTTTCCCGCAAGAGCGCCCTACTAGAGTGTCCCACAAGAGTGTCCCACAAGAGTGTCCCAGAAGACTGTCCCACAAGAGTGTCCCACAAGAGTGTCCCGTAAGAGTGTCCCACAAGAGTTTCCTTCAAGAATGACCCACAAGAGTGTCCCACAAGAGTGTCCTACAAGAGTGTCATTTGTAACTTTTCGAACGTGTCTGCATTCGGGTTCGTGGGCTCCATCTTGTCTTTTAAAAGCAAGTATGATTAATGTTTCACGGTTCATGATGATGTTTGCTTTTGCCTTCCTAAGACAGTGTAGGATTTGATTCGTTCGAGAGAGAGGTGGGGGAAGACATGTTTCAGGTAGAAGCAGGTCAGATCATGAACGATGCCTGTGGCAGATACTCTTGCGGATTTCCCTCAACTACAGTTGCCACAACGGTCAACGCTCTATCCAGACTCTTTTCTAAACATCACAGCTCGAATCATCTAACTCAAACAAACTACTGTAACTAATGATCTAACTCTAACTCAAACTCGAATAATCTATCTCACTCTGCTTGAAAACAAATTTCAAACACACTTAGGCCGTCAATGTAAGTGGCCCCATTTGGTCAGCAGGATGCAGGAGGTTTTCTGGGGAAAGCGCTCCTCCCTTCTGACAACTCGGAAGTCACGCAGGTTGGATCGAGGTCCAGCTGCGCTTCTTTCGGGCCACGCCGAAGACAGGCCCGGACATCACGGGCCAGCCCAGCATGACGCGTTCTCCCTCGCTTGGTTCGTGCGGATTCTTTGTTTTGCTTAGGATGCCTTTTGTGTTCCCTATGGGCGAGTCCTCTTCTGGGGAGTATTGAATAATTTTTTTTACGATGTGAGGAGGGAATTCCCTGTCTTGGGTTGGCGGGTCACTGGAGAATGAGTTGGTCCAGTTGAGGGTGATTCCCTCATATTCCCTCCTGCCAGTGCCCAGACATTGATGTGTCAGAATGCAGTGTGTCACTGCATATTTAGATGTTCGGCTTTTGCACTGCTCTAAAGCCATAGCACTACTTGACAGGACTCTTGGGCCGCGGAATCCCCAAGGCATATTTTGGTTCGTTGGTGTTAGGCACGAAGCTTCTTTTTTTCCTTTCGGGGCACCGTTTCAAGGAGCAGGGGGACCAGAGCTCTTCGACGGATCCCTTTTCGCGTTCCAGACAGCCCTTTTTCTAGATACAAGGCACCCTGAATTCCATGGGCGGTCGATGAGAATTGCCTGGTCCATTTTCACGGTCCATGTTCGTCTGCTGGGGGGGGTATCTCGATTGCAGGACTCCATGACTCGGAAAAGAGTGGCTCCAGAAATCTGGACGCAATCTATCTTGAATGTATGGGGAGATCGTCCTGATCAAATCAGAGGGCAGGAATGGGGGTCTTGGACCTGGGAGAGCGCTTTTCGTTTTCGCATCTCGTGCCTTAGATAGCTCTTTGAAAGATCCTGAAGTTGTCTGGGATGCCTCTTCAGCCGTGTCTCAGACTCTGGCAATATACACCAACAAACAAACATGCCAACATGACTATCAAGGACCCATCCAACCACCCTCTCTGGATGGTTCTGCGGAAAAAGAAACCCCAGCGGAGCCACACTAAACCCTAAGCCCTCCCTCCGCCTCCAGTCACCTTTGAGCACCTCGCGTTGGCCGCTCTCAGGGGGTCGCCTGGGCTCCAATCTTCCGGTGCTCCATGTGGGGAGCCAACCGGGGACCGGGCGGGCCACGGACCCTGCGGTGGATGCGTTCAGCAGGTATTGAGGTATGGACAGTGGTCGACACCCAAGCTGCCGGAAGCAACAAGTTCAATCCGCAGGGGGAGTGGACCCCCAGTTCCAGTTTGTTCAAAGAAAACAGGGAGCACCTCCGTAATACCAAACACCTGCAAAATCCCAACAATAGCAACATGCAAAGTACGGAGTAAACTGGAAATGGTGGGCCGCGTAGGCATATCCGCCAAGGCAATCAAATCCCAGCCATTGGAGGAAGGATTGCGTAAAGGGAAAGGCAATCCGTGATGCTGTAACAAAAAACGGAGCTCCAAAAGACAACTATACGTACATCCCACCCGATTGGGTCTCCCATTGCAGAAACAAGTGGATGAGGGAGCTCAAAAAGGTAGAGGGCACATCAACTGTACATTGGGTTTAAAATGGTGGTCTCAAAAGCCGGAGGGATCAGGCTAGACAGAGCACTCCGATCTTCAACCCACTCAAAGTCAGGACTCTCAGAAGGTTCGTCCGGATCAGCCGCCACAGTCGAAGAAGTGTGCGAAGTGTCCGCAATGTGGAGATAGAACGACCGGAGCTGTGTAAGAGTCAGCATGGATCTGTGGTGGTACTCATTCGCCAGTCCCAGATCTGATTATAAAATCACCCAAAAGGTAGGTACCGGGGGGGGGGCCGAGCATATATATATATATATACATAAGTGGTTGCGTGGAAATCCCCTGAACGGCTAGTTGATTTTTGGTTGCTCGTTTTTTTGCTCCCATCTCTCTCCAGCCGGACTGTGACTATCCAATGTGTGCCAAATGGACGACCACTACCTAGAGATCTCCCTTGGACACCCATTGGATGTTCCATGGGAAATTCCATATCAGTTGGATGACCCGATGTGGTCTCAAGATAACCGAACGCAAGCGTTCCCGACGCTTCCATTGGGCTGAGCAGAGCAGTTGGGCAACGTGTGGGTTTGGAAGGGATGAAGCCCATGTTGGTGATGGCACTTCATTATGTTCAGGAATAGAATTGGAACCTCTTGGTTTTAGCCCGGTCATCTAGCTGGTGGGTCACTCCGCCACCCAAAAGTTCTTGGGAGTTCTTAGTCTTCACATTGGACTTGATGAGTGTCTGAGCTTTGAACAGGCTGGAAGAAGGGCCTCTGGTTAGAAAGAAAGAACTCTGTGGTCGTCTATGGGTGTGACGGATGGATCAAACAGTTTGTGAGGTGCATCCTCTCATATCCTCAAATGGTCCTAAGTCCCAAGTACATGCTTTGACCTTGCCCAAAGCCTACTCGGTGGCGAATCGCTCCGCTCCCGGGTGTCCCCTTCCCTGGGAGAACCCGGAAGAGAAGGAAGACCAATAAGAAGAAAGCTGGGTGGTTGATAGGTATACGAAGAGACTCCATGGCTTGTGGGAAGTCGAAGCTGGAATGTTTGATGGATTGCTGTTTGGAGAAGGCTTGTTTTGTTATCCCATGAAACCCACCAATTTCAAAGGACCATGAACCCAGAGACCCCGTAGAATGCCCAGCTGACCTGCCGTGCACGTGCCATGGCAGTTGATCTTGAGCATGGAGGATGGAACTACACAGGCAGGGCCTGCCAAGGTGAGTCATGGAATGCCACACTGTTTTAGCTGTTTTCTTACAACACCATCCAGACGGATTGATCGATCGATCGACCGATCTGGGAGAAAGCGCTCATGAGAAGGATATGCCTCGTGTGCTTGATAGAAACTGCTCATGGCATGACAGTTGCATGACACGATACGGGGCGAAATCTGATCGGGGTACTAGACCCCATGGGGTTTTAAAGCTGGTGTTTCATAGTATTTCATAGGCACCCATTGCAAGATAATGCATATATAGTCCATTTTTTGTTATAATTAAATACATAGTACCCACAGTACTCAGAACCCTAAGAATCCGGACGCTTCTCCAATGGAAACGGCTTTCGGGGTCCGGAACCGGACCCTTGCGAAGGTGTCAAGGATTCTTAGGGTACATGTCATTGATGTTTCCTGAGGGAAAGCTGATTAGATCGGAAGTCATCCTGGGCATGTTCAACGGCTTCTGGAGTGGAGACGAAGTCGGACATCCGCGCTTCTTTCAGATGAAGTGGGACATCCGCGGACCGCGGTCGGGCCCCGGTACTCACCGGATGAATCTTTGGAATGTGCTTAGAACGCAGCCATGGTTCACTGTATGATTGCTTTGGGGAATCGAATTTGCATTTCGATCCATTTGGGGCTCAGTATATATATAGATCCAGTTGTGTGATTTGCGTGGGGAACAACTCTACCATTGCTTGAAATCTGAATGCTGAATATTGCTGAATATGTTGTTTCAATGAGGGGCAATTGGACTCTCAGAAATATCACAGGAGTCACGGGAGTCTCCCGCCCCAAGTCGTCGAGCCTACCTCCCTACCTCTTCAAGAGTCCTTTGGAAAATCCTTGATCCCCACATCCTTCCTCCCAAGAACTTTTCCTTGTCATTTTGTTGCCTTTTGCAGGTGATGGAATTCATTGGAAAGCATCAGCGGTCGCTCGGTGATGGAGTAAGCATGCCAGACAGACGATCAGCCAATGAAAGGAAGTCTGGAGACAAAAGCAGGCTGCATACGACACAATGAAGATAGTACCAGGATGTGTGAGAATGACAGACATATGTAGCTGCTGACAGATGTTGATGTGTGCACTTATATAACTTGTTCAGTGAAGTCCTCCGGAGACGCCTCTTGCGATTTTGTGTCACGAAACATTCGTGTCTCTACCTCAAGTCGTTGAGAGATCTCCATGAAACATTCAATGCCAATATTCCACACGTTCCAGTTTTGGACAACGGCTCCAAACACCTCACACTTCAAGTCGTCAAGATGGTCAGAGTAGACTCAGGCCCATCTAAAAGAAAGGGACAGGTACACTCCCTGGAATCATGGTTCCGTGGATGGCATGGCCCCTTGGATGATCATTTTCCTCTACAAACAGGTGCTTTTACACTTCCATGATTCTTCCAAGGAGTGTATCCTGTTTGACCCAGACGAGTATAGGCGACCACTCGCCCGGAAAAAAACCGCTACGTTGGTTTGTCGTTGGCCTCCGCAATTGGTCGGACCCGGGGCCAGAATCTCTGGCCGGTGAAAACAGCTTTGAGGCAAAAGAAACAAGAAGCTACTAGGAGCAAAGGGCATCACTGCATCACTACTAAGTTCACTACTAGTAGCAAGGACGCTACTAGTAGCTCCTGGCCATACTACTAGTAACAAGAAGTTACTAGTAACAAAGGGTGCCGTGCTGTCAGCCGCACTCTTTTAATGGTCTTGGAAGGTTAGGTTCGTGTTTTAATGGTCTTGTTGACCACACGAACACCTCCACACACCTGATGCGCCAAACACCTGGGGATTCTCCCAGGCAGTACTACTCTGAGGAGGCTTCGGTGGCCTGCGATGCGATCGCACAGCATTTAGCTAGGGAGCCTAGAGATTGAGGTGCAGAACTTGGATGGTGTGTGTTTTTTTCTGTGCGTGATGTTGTTCGTTTCTGCAGGTCGCTAGTTGCAGATCAGTGTATCCACCAGTCTGTTCGAAGCTGTTCGAAGTGGGTTTGGAGATTCATCCAGTCTTTGTGCATGTTCTGCGCACCCTTACCCTCCAAAAAACACACACCTGTGCAACTCTTGGTTCCGTTTTCGGAGGTGAACTTTACAGCAATCACCACCTTTGGGCATAGAACCTTGGGTATTAGACACATGAGATGGGCATGACTTTGATTGCCATGCTTGTGCCATGGGAGAAACCTGGATGGGCTCCAGGTTTGGATCTTCTTTCGCTCCCAATCCCCTCCCAAGATGCACACGCCGACCTCCCCGATTCGAATCTTCCCCAACTTCCAACGGCGATATTTTCACATGATTTAATTTTATGGGTCGATTCACCCTTGGGATGAACGATTCTTTGCCAGACAAACCCAGGAGGAGAGTTTGCTCCGTGTGGCCTTGGAGCAACTCGGACGATGGACAGGGCGACCGGCAGACATCACTAAAGGCTGTGCCAGCTGTGCATATTGGATTCACCAGAGCTGTCGGGCAGTTTCGACTGCCAGATGGACTTGTGTTAGCTGGATGCTTCCAGCTGTTAGATCACCAAAAGTGCAGGGTCATAGCACGGTATCAAACCCTTGAGTCCAGTGACCAGAGGCTGGCGAACAAAAGGGCCCCCTTTTTTGTGGCGGTTCTAGCGCATCAACCCATCTCTGTGTTTTACTAACTAGGATGACTTGATGATCAATATAACTAGCCGCTAGCCCGTCTTGGTTTTGCTCCAAATTGCACTCTTCCCTGCATCAATATCACGAAAGGTAGCCCTTTAGGGGATACCTTGAGTTTGACTTGCGAAGCAAGTGTCGGCGAGTCCGGGTCTAATAATTGATCATTCAATTCAACCACCCCCCCCCCCCCCCCCATACCCCCCCCCCCTGGAATTGATTTTTCAATACAAACCCCCCCCCTCTAAATTCAATTCTCCGCTGGAGAACGTCTTCGTGAGCCTCTCATGCTTTCAGGATAGTTGAAACCCTCTTGAACAGTCAGAAAGAGTGCATATGAAATTCTAATTACGAAATGTGTTCTCGTTAAAATACCATTCTCTCCTGGAGACCGTCTTCGTAAGCCTCTCATGATTTCAGGATAGTTGAAACCCTCTTGAACATTCAGAAAGAGCGCATATTAAATTCTAATCACGACAGGTGTTCCCCGAAAGGATCGCAAGGTGTTCCCCGAGGGGAATACATACCTAGAGTTTATTTTGTAAAGCACGTCAATTCTCTCCTGGGGCCTCTTAATTCAATTCTCTCCTGGAGAACGTCTTCGTGAGCCTCTCATGATTTCAGGATAGTTGAAACCCTCTTGAACATTCAGAAAGAGTGCATATGAAATTCTAATCACGAAAGGTGTTCCCCGAGGGTATATATACCTAGAGTTTTTTTTGTAAACCACGTCAATTCTCTCCTGGGGAACGTCTTCGTGAGCCTCTATTCAATTCTCTCCTGGAGAACGTCTTCGTGAGCCTCTCATGATTTCAGGATAGTTGAAACCCTCTTGAACATTCAGAAAGAGTGCATATGAAATTCTAATCACGAAAGGTGTTCCCCGAGGGGATACATACCTAGAGTTTGTTTTGTGAACCACGTCAATTCTCTCCTGGGGAACGTCTTCGTGAGCCTCTTAATTCAATTCTCTCCTGGAGAACGTCTTCGTGAGAATCTCATGATTTCAGGATAGTTGAAACCCTCTTGAACATTCAGACAAAGTGCATATGAAATTCTAATCACGAAAGGTGTTCCCGGAGGGGATACATACCTGGAGTTTGTTCTGTGAACCACGTCTATTCTCTCTTGGGGAACGTCTTCGTGAGTCTCTTCTGGTTTCAGGATAGTTTAAACCCTATGATGCTCCGATTCCATGCTCACCGATGATCTGAGCCATGGGGCGAGGTTGTTTCCCTAAGAACCTTTCTGAACATTTCGAACATTGCATTTTTGTTCCTGCCTCTCGCGTTCTCTTCTCTTCCCGCTGTCCTACCTTTCGTGTCTCCCTCGTCTCAAGTCAGACTTTTGGCGGTGGACGTGGACCCAAAGACTCTACAAGAAGATTGTCAAGAGGCCCAAACCTTCATCCATATTTCTTCAACAAAGGGTAAACGGCACACCCTTCCAGGTTTGACAACATATCGACTTGAAATCGATTTGCGGGATGGACTACCTCGTTCGAACATGTTTTAACAATCCTGTGGAACCCCGCACAGTTTGGCATTTGGAACATGGTTGTCCTTTCAACGCCATGCCATCTTGGTGTCTTTGGTGACTAAGAACTTGACCACCAGCACCACTGTGTTTTGTTTTTTTGTTTTTCCCCTTGGAGAGTCCCAATTGCCCCCCCCTGGCCTTTGCTTGAGCCGATGTACCGCTGTGGATCGAATGGACTGCCGTGTCCTTCACCTCCGAAGACGCTCCGCTCCAGGTTCGTGTTCCATCCCTCCCGAAGACGCTTTGCACGTGAGCTGGTGGTCTTCCGGGAGTGAGGAGCACCCAGAGGGGAGGCCGAGGAGGCTTTTGTGTGGACCAGAATGGGAGGCCCTGGTGGGAGGGGCTGAGCCGAAGCCGTCCCCTCAAATCGCCTGACCAATGCGTTTTCATGGTGAGGGGCTGTGGAGGGACGACTCACAGCGAGATCGAACGGTCCGAAATGAAGGATAGAACTGATAGAGCGATGTCCAGCACATGCTGCATGCAGATGGACTCTTTGAACCTCGCTTCTTCATTCATATTTTTTTTTTCGCAGCATAACCGCATTCATGTGGTGCTTCAAAGTGACCCGGACTGAGATCGCAGGTTGAGGTCACTGAAGCCTCTTTTGAGAACCACTGGCTGGGACCCTCCTGTTTGATCACGAACTGAAAAAGCTGAAGCTGGTAATTCGTTCTTGCAGCACTGTTACAGCCAATTCCAACGTCAACCAGCTCACCCTAGGCAGCGGGTACCACTGCTTATTTGGGTCTCCATCCGTGCGAGGTGCAGTGTAGAGCCAGAGGCTCTGGAGCGTCGGGCAGAGCTGCTGCCCAGGCCAGGAGCCTAGTTGTATGGTGACTGTTTATGAATGAAGCTCCCCTAATATAGACTGTTGATTTATAAAGACCCCCCCGGACATGGATGCGTGTACTCAGTGTACTTGCAGACCATCTGGCACGCCTACACCATCCCTTGTCGTGTTGTACGACGGGTACGGGTAGGACCCCCGGACATGGATAGTCAAACCTCTTCATCACCACCCGAGCGGACAATCCCACGCATTCCCCTGTTGGGAAAGTCACGCCACACTGCCGACGCTCATGGACGGACTGCGCAAAAGAAGCTAAAGAAGTGAGACCCGAAGCAACAACCACCACATAGCAAGTCCTCAACATATGTGGAGGTCAAACCTCTTCATATGTGGAGTTTTATTCATCAACAGTCTATATACATTACTATTCCCTATGAAGCATGTGTCCGGGCTGTCTTTAAGATTTTTCTGCCCGCGAAATCAGGCAGCACGTTGTGCTCCGTCATGAAATGAACTGCAATGAAGCCCAGCTACCAGCCCCTATCAGGATGGTTCTACATTCACGTTTCCATATGGGGTCAGGATGGTTCTACATCTCCAGATGGGGGGTTTTGCTACGCAACAGTCAACATTCAAAGATCCGATCCCTTCATGGCTGTGGGGATCGACAGACGGGCGTCACGATCCACCTGGGACCCGCCTTCCGGAATCACACAGATGGACGGAGCAGCCGGTTGGCCTTCCGAATCACCTGGAACGGGAGGTGAAGAAGAGAAGAAGGGCACAGAAGACGGGAGGTGAACATGTTTTGTTTGATGTTTGTTTGGGCATGCTTGGGACCTTGGTTTGATTGGGGGGACGCCAGGGTTGGAGAAAACGCCAGGTAAAGACATGCTACTATGAAACCTTCTAAGTGAGACCTTCTAAGTGAGAGATCTCATTAAAAAAAACAGATCAATTCAAAGGACAATGAAGGATGGCAACAGAATCCAACGTTATGAACGGTGTCAATTATATATATATATGTATTCGAGATCTTTACTTATGACACAGATACATGAAAGGAGAGATATCGTGGACGGGGGAGACTCAGAAGACCATAGTAAGGGAGCATTGACCTAGATTTGGTGCGTGAGCGATAGCCACCTAGACTGGTGGCCTGAAAAAGGGACGGCAAGGAATTGAAGCATCAGATGGTCTTGCACCATTGCTCGAATGAAGTGAGGGTGTGAGTGGAAGAAACCGTGAGTTCCACAGTTCCACACCGATAAGGTCCGAGAAGTGTCATCACAGGACAACACCAAGAAGAAAATTAGTTGTTCAAGTACCGTGGAAGGAAGAGCCGAAAGGAGAAGGAAAAGGAAAAGGAAAGATTGAAAGGAAAGGAACGGAAAGGAAAAGGGCAAGAGCAAGAAAGGCAAGAGTGTTAGTGGTGGAAAAGACCTGGAGTGGGCCCCAGCGTGATGGAGCGCGATGGAGAAAGCAAAAGCCAATGCAGCGAGGAAGAGGGAGCAGTCTTGGCTGTTGGGGTGCCTGAGGCAGGCAAGGGCCTGAGGCAGGCAAGTCGAGTCAGGACGAACACCACTGTTTGAAGTCTCCGTTGGGCACGGGTGACCACTCGCCTTTGGAGTATGCTTGTTTGAGTCCGGAAATCTACACCATCTCACTCACTTGATCCTAGGCTTGGAGACACCTGCGGGCGAATTTGCACGAGTTCATTGCAATTCGGCCAGACGTGCTGCCACTACATCCGAACCTAGTGACTGCTGGAATGAAGGCTGTCGACGCTTCCAATGAATGGTGAGTGGTTTGCCTTGATTTCCACTACTGCGCTGGATGCGCCAGGCCAATTTGCCTCCGATTGGCAAAGCTGAGCAGGAACCACGAATTGGCAGGAACCACAAATGCTTAGGTCGTGCTGTTATGTCCGCTGAGCTTTTCTGCTCCAGAAAAGATGTTTATTTCTACGCTCCAGAGTCTGGTGAACGCACTTACGAAGACACTGGCTTTGCAAGGGATTGGGATCTGGGGCAACGAGCCGTGGGATTTCTTTTCCGCCCGCGAGCCTGTGAATCTTGAAGAGGCAGACTCAGAGCTGGATCCTGAGTTGCTTGCCGAACATTGGGCCCAAATGTCCGTACCTTCAGCAGGGCTGAGTCAAAGGTGAAATGAAAAGGGTGAAAGGTTATCCACTCACTCACCACAGGGAGAATGAACAAGGACGCTACCAGGAGCAAAGGGCATCGCTACTAGGAACAAGAAGCTACTAGGGGCTCCTGGCCTTACTCCTAGGAGCAAGGACGCTACCAGGAACACCCTCTGCAGTATTTCATCCGAGTTCATCCCGTAGGATTCAGGGTACAGAGGTAGGCTACCCCCAGTCTTTATCCCCCCCAGTCCCCCAAATCCAGCGTTTTGTTTGAATGAGCCACAAATCACAGCCGCGTGGCTTTGTTAGGGAGGTGGTATTCTTTTCAGGGGATGCAGACACAGACACAGATCTCCGAACCGCTTCGTCATGTCATGTAAGCCGAGCGGCTGGAGGATGCTGGAAACGCTTCGAAGCCACAGCTCCATCCGTGACGTGCAATTGGAGCCCGGGCTCTTGGACAGATGGGATGGGGTGCCATTCTTGGGTGAGACGCCTTGGCCTGGCTTTGACATATGGGTGAACCCGTAGAAACAAGTGCATCGCTAGTAGTAAAGTGAACCCCGCTCTGGGGAAGACTTTCTGTCCGATTCCTGGACAGCAAATCTAGTCGCGGAAGGGTGCCCAAAATCGTTCGATCGGAGAACAACTTGGTCTAACCTTGCAAGTGGGTCAGTGAATGAAACCGTTCTGTTCCCCCCAAGGAGGCTAGCTGATTCGGGAATTTGCCCAATTTCTCCTGTGTCACCATGGTTCATCCGTTAGGCCACTGGAATTTACCGTTTTAAAGGCGCCCTCTTCTCTTCTTCAACTTTATGATGCCAACACCGTATGATGGCCAGCTCTTACAGCTTCAGTCACTCCTTGCTGCAAAGCACGATGAAGGTCTCTGAAGGCCCCCTGCAAACAAGATACAATACGTTATATATTTAATATATAACATATTCATGCAGCATATACAGTACTTTTCCTATCTCTAGACATAAACTGATTGTTTGTCTATAGCTACCTTTCTTGAACCCTCTCTATTTCCAAGAAATGTGACCCCAATGCAGAGACTCTGGATGCCGCAGTGGACACTCGGAGATAAGCCACTATAGTAACCAATAGTGTCCCGAGGTTTTCTGGCATCCCTTGCCGTATCAAACGGAGCCTTTGTCCTTCTGGCATCCTTTGAAAACGCGCTTTCCTTGCTTTCCTGCTGCTGATTTTTGTGTTTTGGGGTCCTTTTCTGTAGGCGTCCAAGACCTTGCTCTAAGACCATGCTCGCTTGCAAGGTTCGGTGGCACTTTTGCCCGGCCCAAGCAGAAGGTCGGTCGCCTCGGGAGCAGAAGGTCGCCTACTATGCGTCCAAGTTGTTTCGGCGTTTGTGGTTTGACCTGGAACGATTCACGTCAGCTCTTGTGTGAGCCCTGGACCTATTCTGAACAGCTCTTAGTAACGTGTATCTGAGACTCCTGTGGGGAGTAGGATCCTGGATGTTCTTTGTCCCGCCGATGATGCGCTTGAGTTGATTTTGGGGCTGACAGACTATATAATCGTTTCTCTTGTGTTATGAGCGATCACACGTTGGACATGCTCCGCTTTCGGGTGAGTGAATTTGGCTGAAAGATCTGAAAGGTCGGCGCCGGTCTGGTCAACTCGTATGGTACAATGGTACTTTCCAGGCTCATGAACCCTCATATGGAGAGATCGGGCCCTTATATGGAGGGACAAAGGGCTGTTTGGAGCGTCCGAGTTTTTTTGCAGTGGTCTGAGAATTTCTGAGAGAATGTCGTGATCCACCAAGCAACTCTTGTTTCGCTCACCTTCAGCGCTTTGTTTCTTTTAAAGGAGAAGAGCTTCGTTGTCTTGGATGAAGATGTGCTGAAAGTGGCCCCTGCCAAAGAGCAGATGAAGGCGGGCACAAGTTCATTTCCCTCGATGGATTTGGTGAGTTTGGTGTCTGCGTTCGAAGACCTGCGTTTTCTCCCTGTGAAACCATCAAAAAGAAGAATGATTTGATCTGATCAAAGCAACAGCAACTTGAGAAGGTTTCATTTAGGTTGCTTCCGAGCATGAAACCCCTGTTCCTGGCTGTTTTGGGCGCGGACACCTCGTGCAGACACCTCGTGCTGCGTGTTTGCAGGCCGCTGCTCGGGGCAAGGCCACGTTCCGGGGCTTCCAGAAGGGCTTCTTGAACAAGGTGGGCCGCGTGAAGGTGAACCTGGCACGGTAGAGAAGAACAGGAGAGTTCCAAGAAAGACAGGGTACATTTACATACATTTATCAGGACTGCCCAGTTCGGTTATTTGTGTGTTCTGGGGGGGTGTCAAAAACAACAGGGGAACTCTGCGACTTCAAGGGGACAAGGTTGGGGATGCGGTTGAAGTTGAAGGTTTGAGGGGACTTGTTTACTTAAGTCTGGCTTGATCCGTCTTTGGTGTTTGAGGAGTTGCTCTGAAGGGGGGGTCAAGAAACAACAGCTGGGCTGCAGTCTTTGTTTGTAGGATATGGTAGGTTCTTATGGACAGTCGTCGTCGTCGTTCTTGATCAGAAGGATCTCATGTGTTCCATTTCCCAAAGCCATCCAAACTGGACTGTCATTTGAGTCAATTGAGTTGTTTGCTCCTTTTCAGCCTTTTGTCACGCCTTCGTTTCTGGTCTTTCACAAGATGTCTTCCGCAGGATTTCGCATTTTTCTTTAATTATTTTTTGAATGCGTATACGCATACGTACGTACATGCATGCATGCATGCATGCATGCATGAAGGCAAGTATCCATCCATCCATCCATCCATCCATCCATCCATCCATCCATCCATGGATGCATGCATGCGTGCGTTTCCTTGCGTTGGGCTACGTTGCGTTACGTTACGTTACATGCATGGTACCCGCCCAAAAAACACCTTAGAAATTGAGATCATTTGAGTAGAGTGCGCATTTGCGAATTAGATTCATTACGTACACTTTCTCGGAGGCGCTTGGAGAGCCCAGAGTCGAGAGGAAGTCCAGAGAGTCAGAACCTATCGGAAAACAGACAGGGATTTGTGCGAGACATTGCGACGTCGTACCCGTATCCCAGCAGGTCAAACTTATGGAGGCTTCATACAAAAGATGGTAAATATTGATTAGGAACAAGAAACTGCTAGGGCCCCTGGCCTTACTACTAGGAGCAAGGACGCTACTAGGGGCTGGCATCGCTACTAGCATTCTTACTAATTGACTCACTGAGTTCTACTTGGTTGGACCGGACCGGCTTCTTCGTTGGACCTGTCCATCGCGACGTCGGTTCCGGACCGTCTTCCGACGGAAGTGACGAGGACACGGGCAGCCGCAGAGAGGAGACGGCCAGCGCTGCTGCTCGGGAAGTGACTTGGTCGCTTTTCATTTAGCTGGAAAGGAGGCAGAATCGACCGATGATGATTGTTTTTTTATTTCTTATCATCCGAGGTGTTGGTGAGCCGGAGTGTAACTCGACAGTTTTCGCTAAGCTTTTCTAGGTTTTTACAAGTGATCAAGTGGGGTTTGACGGCGTTCGGATGCAGGGGTTGTTACACTCCTCCAGACTAACATGATAGTGACCACCTTGTATAAAAGAAGTGCGTATAAAGAAGAGCTTATTCCCGAGTCTCTTGGAAGGGGCTTGCTATGTTGTGGTTGCCTCAAACTATGGGCGGCCGTATGCCATATTATGTATAGTCCTATCATATCGTCGTGTAGGAAATGGACGTTGGGGAGCCCTTCCCGAGTGTTGAAGGAAATTATGCCGACGATCCATTCAAAGCAAGACAAAGGCCCAAATGGATCATGACGAAGAGATCTCATTTCGATATTGCAACAAACACAACGATTCCACAGGGCCGGTTTGATGTTGAAAATAAGAGTAGAACAGTTTCCTCGCAAGAGTCCCCATTGTCCCCTTCCGCTTTCCTGTTTGCAACTTTTTAAACGTAAGTCACAAAAGAACCTTGGAGAATGCAGTTTTCCAAGCGGATCTTCATGTGGAACCCGTCCAGTCGACTCGTTCAACGTCCATCGACCCAAACTCGGGTTCCACCCGAAGAATTCAATGCGATCGCGGACGATCATATCCACGAATGAGCAACTCCTTGAAGAACATTAGAAGTTATGTTCTTCTATTTTTTGGGTGAACAGGAAGGTGAACAAAGGGGAGCCCAGTGATCACCGAGGCGAGCGATCTGCGCCAAACCTCGGTCTCGGCCGTTCCACCGGATGCGCCGCCCGGGGTTCCCGGGGCGGAAGACGCCGTGCACGTGCAAGTCGTTTTCGTAGAGCTGGTGGAGGTGTTGGTAGAGGCTTCACGGCCTCCAATCTTCTGTGGAGATGTTGGACTTCAAAGTTGATGGTATGCCTGGTAGAGGTTGCTGGTAGATCTTCTTCCTGACATTTGTGCGAACATCATGAAGTCAAGTTACTTCAGTGTGAACTTTAGTTAAACATGCCTCTCAAGCAAAATGAGTTCCTCATAGTTCCTCTAGCAGTTCAGACAAGTGCCTGAGAAAACGGAGACGCACACATCTCTCTAGATGTCCCTTGAGAGCAATAGGTCTATATAGTCGAAAGGGTTGCAAGAATGAGCTAAACTACTACTCCGAAACCACTGGGTTTTGTACGGCAGTTCCATGCAGTTCGCTATTTTAATCGTTCACCGCCGAAAGCCACGACTGGCCCCTCCATCTTGTGACATCAAGTGGCCAGTTTAGAATTTATATATGGTTTCTAATAGCTTCTTGTTACTAAGGCACTTGTTACTAGTAGCGATGCACTTGTTCCTAGTAGCTTATTGTTTCTAATAAGCCATGTTGAGGCAGTCCTCTGATATGATAATATGGCAGTCCTCTATGAAGTGTATGAAGGATGTTCCTGAACCGTGATACAAAATATCGTGTCATCGGGTGGTATTCCAGGTTGGTCAAAGGGACAGCAGTGGTTCTAGATCCAGGGTTACCCCCAAAGACCTGTACCGAAGACTCATGCATTTTCCCGTAGACTTCAAGGGGTCGCATAAAGCAGAACTTGACACCTGCCATTCTGGTCGTCAGGGTCTTCCTTTTGCTCCAGCCTCTTTTGTTAAAGACCTTTGCAGTGGCTAACTGCAGGAGCCTGCGAATTCATCCCCCAGCTTAGTACTTCCAGCGTACTAAACATTTCTCACTTCGATTTCTTGAAGCCGGTCCCGTGTGGACTCTGGTGCGGGGGACCGGGCAGCGCCTATGTCTGCCAGGGACCTTAGGAGTCGCCTTAAGCCTCTCAATACTGGTGATCCTAGAGACGGTCACTGAGGCCGGTGAGTAGCAGCTGGGAGGAGAAGCAGAGGCTTTTGATGCCGGCAGTGCCTTGGCCGTGTCAGAGAAAGATATACGTAGGTTTTCCTTGCCGAATGCGTGCCGTTTTGGGACGACTTCGGTGATGCCTTTCGTGGGGGTTTGGAGTTTGTTTGAGGGGCGTTGGCTGGCTTTGGATCGTTGGCATTCAAATCCTTCCTTGGACTATTTGGGTCCTTTACTTGTAGCAGAGCGTGTGAGTGCAAAAAAAGAGGAGGGCATCGTTTTGCCAGCAGGAGGGGTGAAAAACATGGATGCATCTACCAGCACCCTCCAACGGTCTCCTTTGCAGTATTGTTATGCCCTGGTGGTGTTCTGAATTCGCAGTGAGGGTGCTAGTAGGGTCTTCAACTTGGTTTCTCATTGTTTTCGTCGTTCTTACGGCGACCACCTGCTGGTGACCTCTCCCATCTTTGGGAATCAGAGGCGGCGCCTGCCCCTGGCGCTGCGGCACACCATGCGCTGGCCATCCGGCCCGAGTGGGGCGGGGTCCACGACGTTGTCGGAGAGGACTCGGACGATGTGGACTCGGACGACCTCCAAGCCTTGCTTCTCAGTGATTCACAGTCGCATTTTTAAGATTCATACCCGGACCCTGCTGAGTGTGGGGGAGACCCAAAATGAAAATTCCACACAAGAACATATAAGAACCTTCTACTATCCGTACCAGGAGTTTCCAATCAAGATCCCCAGTCAAGGATAGTCCCCAAAACTGCAGACTGGATCGACTGGATGGTCCGGGTCAACCTATCAAAAAGAGTCAAAAAGGAACCTCTCTCACTGTTTTTGTCGGAAACACATCCGTATCTGGGATGGTTGCTACTTTAACAAGAGGGGGGGGTTGTCAATCCTATACCAGCACCCTCCGTTCGATCGCTTCCTGGAATTCGTTGGAGACCACGTGGGTCTACGAGTCCCAAAACAGCCTATCGAACTTGTTACTAGTAGCGTCCTTGTTACTAGTAGCGTCGCCACTATAGTTCCACCAATCCCAAGGTCCTGGTACTTACTGTACCTGTCCATCCGAGAGTTGGACCCCCTTCGGAAAAAAAGAACTTCATCTACTCCGAGGTGTCCCACTTGGCCGTGGAGCCCGCTGAGCCGGAGGAAGAGCCGGAAGAGTTGGGCGAAGGCGGCCGGCGGAGGGTGTGGAACGTTTTTGGGGAGAGGTGAAGGCGCAGGTCGGTGATGAGTGAAAACCAGGCAGTGTAACACCCATGAAACATGAGGTGCCATACACTCCTTTTGGTTTACCTACCCTTGGGTGTCAACGTACACATAAAATTCCGGTCCCATCGTGTTCGGGTACATATTATAGATACCAATCAGCTAGATGTTTGGTAAGACATCATCACCTGTTCAGACTGACAAAGAACCTTCCGTCTCCGACAAAGGAACGACGTTCGACGGCAGCGTTTCGGCCCCCAGCACATCCATCGCTGTCCGTTTCGGCCCCCGGCACTGCGCCGAAGCGGGCGTTTGACGGCGGCCCGACGGTCTCTCGGTTGCCACACCCAAGCTGGAAGAGAGGCTTATGTGCTAGTGCACTTGAAGGGGTTGGACATGTTTGGGACGCAAAGACTATAAACGAACACAGGGTGTAACAGGATGGTGTTGGGGATTCGTCAATGGTCGTGGTGTGCCACGGACCCCCACCAGCCATCGCTTCGGTCCCAAGACTGGTCCAAGAGAGAGGTCCTTTTTTAGGAGAACAGCGCTGTGCTGTCTGAATCTTGGGGTAGTAGAACCAAAAACAACAGGATCAGCTCCACGACTGAGATCCATGTCATTTTCACTTCAAAAGGGCCATGGTGACGTGCGGCGCCCTCTCCCGCGCCGTGCTCTGTTCTCCAAGTTCCGCCCACCGCGCAGCTCTGGATCTCTCCCAGCTGGCCACGCAGCTCTTCGGTGAAGCCGAGGAGTCCGGGGCTAACGGCCCAGATGAGGAAGCTCACGGTGGGTCGATTTCCACAACTTTCCCTCAGAATCCGGGCCTGAACTTCCTGCAAGAAGGGTTTGGTTCAGAGAAGAGGACTTCTTCAATCACGGCCAGCTATCTATTTCTTTGTTGACCCCCAAATAGATAGTAGAAGATTCATATATGAACACATTGAACAGTAAACACCGTCCTTCAGGAAAAGACACTTCTACCAGCACCCTCCTCTACCAGTTCGATCGTTTGTTTCCTCGATTTCCACGTTCGGTGCCCTGATGTTCCACCACCTGAGCGTTCCCGGAGGGTCCAGGTCCATCGAAAGGCTGGAGATCACTCAGTGGATTGGGTGATGATCTCCGGCCTTCCAGGTAGGTCCCTCACATGCCGGGGAGGAGTTTCCTATTTTTCAGGGGGGTGATGTGCGCAGGAAGCAAAAGCCATCCATATGGGCATCCCCATCCGACCTCATGAGGCCTGGCCTTTGTGGGAATCGGCGCTGCGAAGAACAACGTGGGGTAGTAGTAGAACAGTTCCTTCAGGAGCCAGCATGGCTACCCTTTCTGGAGAAGAGCACGTGCAATTTTTGGCCAAAAGGGGGAATGGGGGCATGTGCGCCCTTCAATCCAAATCCCCCAGCTGGGTATTGAATTCCAATAATCCGCTAGTCTTGTTCAGGTGGAAGCCACCAATCCCAGAATTGGTTGAAGGGAAGATCTACAGGTTTGTTTTCACCCACAAAACAATGGGTTTCCTCATTTCCTGTAGTATCCTTTCAATTCTGGGATCGCAGCCTCCTTGTTGGGACCGGACCCCCCAAAAAGGGGAGAGCGAGCGAAGCCAGGATCTTCCCGAGGCCAAGAGTGAGGCGGCGCCGGTTTCGTTGTGCGATGAAGTTCAAGTGTTTTGCTTACCACACAAATTTCATGCGTGCCGATATACCAGCACCCTCCAACAGATCACCAATTGAGAAGGTATCAAAACACCGCCCATGTAAGTCAGTCCTCGCATGTCCGTTTTGCCAGAAGCATGCTCAAATGATAAGGAAAACACGATAACCCCGGATTGAAATTCACTAAGCCTTGAAGCATCGAAGCACCTTCCTGGATCCGGTCATACCAAAGACACCCTTTTGGAGGCCTCTTTGAAGCGCGGGCGTCCTACTAAAAGTGCTGGACGTTTGTAGGACGGTTTGGCGTGGAGGATGAAGCTGTTTTGGCCGAAAACCGCTCGACCCCCTTCACATGAGGGCTTTTCGGACGCGAAGTCGTTTCTGTCTTTGTGTGAGAGGGCCGTGATGCCATGGTAGCAGGACAAACCGGGTATGAAACCATAGTCCATTTCAACACGCTGGGTGCGTACGCTGGAGAGGGCCGCAAATTTGTTTGATTTGTTCAGTTGCACAGAAAGGAAGCACACAACTCGAGTCGAATTTTGTATTTTTGCCTCAAAGGCCAAGATCTTGCCACCCAATAGGCTCACCGTGGTTCTTCCCGGTTCGAGGAAGCGCCAGAGGCCACAGCGCCCGGACCTTAGAGTCGGCCCCTGTAAACTGTAAACAGCTACCAACTACCCTTGCTGCTCTCGCTCTTTGAATGTATTGCGGATGCTTTTGTTTTCAAGATCATAGCTCACTCAAACTCCCGATGGACCTGGTCTCTTCCGCTCCCGCATTGGCCGTTCCTCTACTTTCTAGACCCGTTAAACATGCCAAATTAGACTCTGGAGCCTTTCAATTCATAGGATTTCAGAAGTTGCAAGCCACCAATCATCACACAACACGTCATAAAGGATCATAAAGGAACAACTTGCCAAGATACCTGGTTTGCAGACGCCGAGGCGGATTAGCCTCCTGCATCGTCTCCCAACTAGACTGCCAGCCAAGATTGATACGACAACAAATCATACATCATGCATGATTTTGCATGCACAAGCTTTTTTTGGTCTTGAGCAAGCAACCACTATCAACCACTGGCATGTCCAACTGGTTGTGGAATTGGAATGGCGGTGGACAATTCAAGACCTGTTCTCATCAAGCTCTTCAGCTGGTGGTGACCTGCCTTGGACAACACCCCGAACTCTCTCCCGTCCCCAGTCCCGGAGCTGCAGCACCGCCGATGCCAGCGGAGCGGGGGGGGAGACTCACAGAGACACGGTGAGATGGTGTACTTGAATCATTTTGAATCCTTCCAACCACTTGGCCACTCGGTTTACCTGATGTTTTTTCAAATTCTGGCTCTATTCTTAGCTTCTTTAGCTCTTTTGAGGGAGTTTGGTTGGTATTTGGGGTGCCCTCCTCCTTCACAGCCGGTGGAACCCAATAAGTCTTCACAGCTTGTGGAACCCACCAGCTGATGAAGCTGAGATCCAAGTCCTTCAGAGTCTTTCGGGCGGAACGGACGACGCGGGCGTCCTTGCATCCGCCGGAGAAGTAAGGTGAACAAATGGTGAAAGTACCTGCACCTTGACGTTTGTTTTGGTATGTGAAACACTATGAATCTATGAAACTGTGTGAAATTGTTTATGCACCTATAGAATCGGGGGTCGGGGTGGTACAAGGCCCGAGCCACATGAGGCAGAGACAAAACTATCGTCATTTTAATTGGGTTGTTTGGTGCCTGTGGTGTTTTTACCTTTCTTTTTTTAGTGTTTTCATCGAAAAGCGATCGTTGACGTCCTACAAACGATACCCCTAACTCTCGCGGTGCAGCCAGTGAGAGCCGTTTTGGCCTGCACATGGGGGGGATCCACTCAGCTTGACCTTCATCATGGGAAGAGCTCGGCAAAGAGTGCGGAGCCGCTTTTGCTTCCATGTATGGGCGATTTCAACGATACCCCAACGATACCTCACAAGGTATATTTTCTCAGCCAAATGACAAGATCCCCACACGTACACTTCGGAATAGCAAACTTGCGTTTATTCTGCAAAGAGAACAGGAACGCAAGATCCAGCAGCTTCTGCAGCTCTGGCACTTCGGACAACTCGAGATCATCCAGATCATCCGGCTGCCTGGTTTGCTGCTGGCTTGCTGCTGGCCTGCTGCTTTGCTGCTTTGCTGCTTTGCTGCTTTGCTGCCTGCTGCTTGTTGCTGCTGCTGCTGCTGCTGCTCGCTTGCTGGTGTTGCTGCTGATATGTTGCTGCTTCTGGTTTGCTGGTCTGCTGCTGGTTTGCTGCTGATCTTGCGCTGCTGGTTGCCTGGCTTGCTGGTGGCTTGCTGCCCCTGCTGGTGTGCTAGTGCTACTGGTCGTCTTATTTGACCGCTGAGCGCAGCACGAGAGGCGGAAGCAGTGAGTAAGAAAGGGTATAGAAAAGTGGCGGCCCATGTCTTGCATGCAGAACGGCATGTTTCGAACCCAGAGCAAAACACAGAAAAGCTTTATGGGGGCGATCAGAAACAGGTGACGTGGTAATTGTGGTACTACTCCGTTAAGAAAAGCAGGTTTAAAGCGGGCCCGGAGATGCATCGATCAAATCCATAAATCTCTAAAGTTCTCGAGGGCTTTCGATTTGGGCAAAACCTTCACAGCAGCTTCTCCAGCAAAGTTAACTTCCAAAAAAGTTGCACCAAAGTCTCTGGAAAGAACTTCTCGGTAAGTCGATACGAGGGAGTTTAGACTCAGAGATGTATATACATGCGTCTCTTTGAATATCATTCAATGTTGCAGGATATTGTTGCCTTTGCTGTATCACTGTCCCCCTATAAAGCTGGGGCAGGGGTCAGCAGGTGAGGCGTGATCGGTGTTGTAGAAACAAAGCGGTGCCTACACATATTCATATAATATACATCGAGAGATAACGTATCAGTTTGTTCGGACATATTCTTCCGAACAAACCTATGTGAGCATCCCATCACGGTGTAGAAACAAAAAATCTGACATACTCCGAGAGAGTTCCTTTCAGATTGAACTGTTCGGACAAATTCTACCAAATGAACCCAACTGGCATAGGTCATCCCGATCACGTCCCATCTTGCCTCAGTCTCGTTTACGAGCCCCGACTCCCTGGCCGCCGGGTGTTGAAAATAGGCCTTTTGGGGGCCTGGGGGATTTACAAAAAGAAATCCTGAATCGACAAAAAGGGTGACAGGCTTAAAAGAAAAGGTTCCCGGCGCGGAACAAAACGAGGCGGGTTCAAAAGGATTGCCGGGTAAGAGCATGGTTTCCCCAGAAATTTACAGAAAACACATTTATATAATTCATTATCAGTTGTCCTCCACCAGGACTTTGCAGGCACTTGCCAAAGTGTCGTCCTACTTCCCCCAGGAGCCGCCCGCCGCTGCACCGCCTCCTCCGCCCGACGCCGCGGCAGAGAGGCCCTTGGCGACTTGCTTGCCGACAGACCCGACCTCTTCGCCCCGAACCAAACAGACCCAGAGCCCTTTTCAGTTGGTCAAGATTCCCATGAAAGCAAGGACCAATGATATGACCTAATTAGCTGATCGAATATGAAAACTATGACCTATAGCTGTTGGACCAGGCAAAAGCTATCACGAATCACGAACCCCTCTTTTCGCGCTTGATCCATCCGCCTCTCCGACCAACTGGTCGAAGCACGCTGCTGCACCAGGGACGACCTGGTGGCGCTTTGGATGAAGCAACGCTGGTGAAAAGAAGCCAACAGGGAAACATTGGTGAGGTTGGAAGACATACGCAACAACAGGCACAATTAGTGATTGATAGACTTTTTAAACAACAGGTCAAACGGTTTTTGTTTGATGGCGTTGAATCTGAAAACTCCTCTAGTACCTGTTGTTTGAATGCTCCATACACAAGTTGTCATGCCGAATTTGAGTTTACTGGCGGCGCAAGCAAAACCTAGGATAGGTGCTGAATGATCTTTGTGCATAAAATGATCGTGGCAAGTATGCTAGGTTTCAGGGCAATGGACAAATCATTGATTGTCACGCATTCCTTCGCCCGCCCTGCTTGGACCCCTGCAAATCTTGTGAAAAAGTGAATGAAAGATGAAACACATGGTGTTTTGAGTTGCTTGACCCATCCTCACGTGAAACACTCCATGCTCACGTGTTTGCTTGGTTTGCCTCATTCACTCATCCACGTGGCACGGGTGTCCCGATGGATGCGGGGCAAAGATGTCCTTCGCGCCGGGTGACTCGGGGGCGTTGTCGCGCGGCTTCTACACAGAGCAGGCATAGCAGCGGCTTTTGGGGTTCACGATATTATTTATAGACTTTTGATTAATCAAGCCCCCATATGAAGAGGCTTTGCACTCCATGTCTGAGGGGCTTTACCAATCAAGACTATGTAATTATACATAATGTCTTCAACAACCCATCAGAAAAACAAACTTGAGACTAGTTCGCAGAGGTTTGTTTCTTGAAGAACGTTCGCAACCACGCAACAAAAACTATTGCCCTGACAGCAGGTTTTCTCCTGTTCTAAGAACATGCAATGGACTGGAACTGGCTGAGCACAGATTTGCTCGTTTCAATAAATATCAACAGTCCTTTTGCAGTCGCAAACGTCCAGCCAGTCCGGGCCAATTTCATGGGCTCTGTATCTTGGAAACCGAAAAAGACAAGACAAACCTTCTTCGATTTCTGCTTCTTAGATGATTCTATCTGGAACAGAAACGTCGTTCTCCGCAGCGGTCCCAGCATCCTAGGCACCGCCAGTTTCAGATGCCCGGGTCTTGATGGGTCGGCTGCGGGCGGTGGAGGGAAGTTGCATCAGCCAGTTGTCCATGGCGTTGGCAGTGGCGCAAGGACGCTACTAGTAGCTCCTGTGCATTATTACTAGTAACAAGAAGCTACTAGTAGCAAGGTGTATTGCTACTAATTAGTAACAAGAAGCTACTCGGAACAAAGGGCATGGCTACTGCGCGCAGAGACGATACGAAGACGCTGTTCTTCAAGGCTTCAGGTCGTCAGCCATACGCAGAAGACTTGAAGACTTTCTAGACTTCAAATCCACAGCTTCAAGTCTGCAGGGATTCAATTCAGGTCGTCAGGGACAAAGCTTTTTGCTCTTTAGAACATGCTTTAAAGCTTCAGGCTTTAAGGTATCAGGGCGTCAGCCAAGCCTTAAGGCTTCTGGTCTTTAGAGGAAGGTCACCCCGGGATTGCCAACACACAGGGCTGGTTGACACTGGAAGAGTGTTTCTGGAACCATAGTCCATAGGTCCATGGTCCGTAGCTGTTGTCATGTTCAAGAGTATTTTAACGTCCCATTCTTGCTTTGATATGGTGTCTATACGATACAATCCTCTACTACAGCTTGAGCCTTGAGCGCACTTGAGCATGTTTCCATGTGCTTGGCAGAGACCACATCACAAATTCCAACAAAGATTGTGATCTGGACCAGTCGTGGCCACATATCAGCTTTGAGCTGCACTAGTTCGACAACGAATTGTTTCTGTGATTTCTTTTGGAGGGATGTACCCTCAAGAAGAGCACTCTTCCTCCAACATCCTCATGGACGTGGAACATCGCTATCCTTTAAGGGACACGTTCCACTTCGATGAGGATGTTGGATGGAGGGTAACTGTGCAAGGGAAAACATGCCAACTGGCACTGTCTACCGGTGTGAGGCGCCGCCAAGCGGGCTTGGCCACGTGCCAAGCGAAGGCCGGGTGTGACACCGGACATCTCCTGGCGCTGGTGATTTCAATGAATCCAGGGGTTGGAGAGGAGGATGTTGGAAAGGAATAATATGGACATAGCCGAGATCCACTGAATTAGCTTCCAAATTCAATTAGCTTCCAAATTGCGGGTCTCCCTATCCTCATATACATCCATCCTCTCTAGAATCCAGATCCACCAGCGTGTCGCGCTGCTTCGCCTCGCCGTCGTCTCCCCAGGCGTGCGCCTCCCCGTCGCGGTCCCGTCGAGACCTCCGGTGCCCCGGCGAACGTAGCGTTCGTCAGTCGAGCCTCGTTCGTCGGGTCCGGGGTGTGTCGATTGGTCCGTTGGAGTTGAAACACCCAACGACAGGACCATGTCTGGATGAGGGTGGTGCATTCAGACTGGAACAACACTGTTATGCCGTGGGAAATGAATTGCCTTCCCAACCTCACTGGCAAACGAATTACCAACAAATTATTCAACCTCTCTGCTACCCAAGTATTGACTCTCCAGAGTCAACCCTCAAATGAATGCTCACATCTCCAACTTGGGGCTGGTGAAAGAACATCAACAATTTGCAATCAACATTCGGAATCCAATGGAATCCACATACCTCGTAGGCCCGAAAAAGCTCCGTCCTGGGCCACCAGGCGACATGTTCAGTGAAAAACCATAGCTCCTCCAGTTTTCTCCCACAACAATTGGGTGGGAGGAGTCCAGGAGGAAGAGATACGGGGGCCCCCTGTTTCTCAGTTCGGATCACGAACGAGTTCACGCGAAGGACGAACATAGACCAAACGACCAAGACGAGTTCACGGAAGCGGACGGGGCTGGAAGAAGTGACTCACCACTGTGGTTGAACATCGGACTTTGTTGAAAAGAGGATTTGCTTCACGCTTGGAACCGAAGTAAGTGGGGCACCTGTCACCATGTTTTTGTGTATAATATGTATATATATATATATTTTATATAATATACATATATTTCTATTTTTTTGTTTTTTGAAATACGGAAAGGCTTTGGGACGATTTCAGCACCCATACCCATACCCTCAAAATCCTTGTGCCAACGACTCGTTTCGTTCTTGGGTAAACGCGATTTGTATGTTTGATTGTGGACTTCCACGACCCAGGTGCCCTTGAAGGTGGTTTGCAGGCACTCGCCGCTGGAAGGCCTGAAAAAGTGGAGCTCCAGGGCGGGGGAGGTCGAAGCTCCAGGGCGGGGAACCCAAAAACAGCTGGGCTTTCTTTCGATACTGCTTTTTGGTGCAGCACGAGCATTGTTTCCAGACGAACCCAACTCGGCCGTCGTTGGCCGCCGGTGAAGTGCAGCAGGTCTGCCCCAGCGTCCAACGAGTCGTGGGGGTCCGTTGACATCTGACATCACTACCTATTTTTCTCCCCACTAGATGGGAGCTGGCAGTCAGTCAATGAAAGTTGCTTGACAAGTGATAGTTTTTGGATGTTTTTGGTGTAAAAGAAGGGCTTTAAATGCAACTCCCCAGTCTGTCATTGAGTCAATGTTTTTGATGGTTATAGTTTTCTGTCATTTCATGTTTTCTTTTTCTTTTTTTCTTTTTTTCTTCTTCTTCTTCTTCCTCTTCGCTCCGTGACAACCTGCCCACATCCCACCAGGACCTCTCTGGCGCAGTCCTTGCTGCTGCGGGCAGAGCGTCGGGCGGCCATGCATCAGCAGGTCGGGGGGGAGACAAGGTTCGAAACGGATGAGACGACCGAATTGGATGTCCATCCCAAACTTAACGGTATTTTGGAGCGGCTCCTGCGCTATGAGGAAGGTGGGATTCGCAAAAAAGGCCAAATTCTGACGCTAAGCGGAAGCGGACTCTGTGAGGGTTGATGGTTCAGACGCAGTGGCCGATTCATTTCCAAGCGGAGCATGGGTAGATAGCAGAGCAGTTCAAACTCACTCAATGTGGAATCGACGCAGTTCATCATGTTCATGGATGCGTAATTAGTCCATTTCGATTGGGGATTGGATGGGACCCCCTAAAAACCTGAACACCCGTGCACCTTCTTTCTGATGCTTCCGCCTTGTTTCTTCAAACATGTTTGCTTCCGAGTGTTTGGCGCTTGCTTGGCCCGCGATGGTTCGATTTTCGTCATTCTTCTTCAGACTCTTGCCTGGGCGGATGCGAATTTGCCAGACATGCCGAAACCACTTCTTCATATTCTCAATTGGGGGCTTCTCCACGAATTCTTAAAAAGTTTTCCTGTAAGCTACTGTAGCCTACAGGTTGCATCCTCCAACAGATCTCCTTTGCTTTTGGGTGCGACCGAAGCAGACTTTCCGACAGAATGGATAGGTCGGATAGGAAGGTCAATGCCTCTCTACCAAGAATTTCCAGTTGGTACAGAACTTCCATATCATTGGTACCACAAGGCCATACCATGAGTACAATGCAGAAGAACCAATAGAATTCCAAGTTCCTGTCTTTATGCTGCTCCGCCACTCCGGCTCGAAGAGATGGGTCGTGGCAGCCATGGCGGATCCAGGTGGGATCTGGGTGGGGTCGGTCCCGAGGAAGTGAGGATCCAACCAAACCATCTCCACATCCAAACAGGATGGTCCAGGTAGTCCACTAGTTAGTAGGGGTTCAACACGGGTCAACTCAATCTTTACACAGCATTCCGACCTTGCTATCGAGGAAGTGAATCCACCCTTCCTCTATACGGAACCGAAAAGGCCCAGTCCGGGTCCGGACATGCTCTGGATGGGGCCTTCGGAAGGGCAGGCTTTCAGTCCAAAACTGCTTGGGGCACCGGGGGTCTATTGGTGTCCATCGGGTCGGTGCGACCAGGTGCTTGGAGGCCACTTGGTGCCTTTGAGCTCCCACACCGGTCTGGGTTGGGCCGGCCGCAAGTTCATCTCTGACAGGCAAGGGCCATCCCCGCAAGGGCGAACATTGTCGCGCCAGACTCCACGCCATATTCCATGCCCTTCCACGCCCATCCATCCATCCCTCCTTCCCGCCATCCCTCCCTGGTCATTGCCCAAGTGCAATGTGAGGTGTGTGACTGGATGGTCTGTCACTGCTTGCAATGCTTGCCTCCCTCCAATCCAATCCAATCCAATCCAATCCATTCTCCATCCGCCCATCTCTGCCAGCGAAGATCCCGAGCTTTGCTTGACATGTAAACAATCACATCCCTCCGTCTGCCATGCGCTCCCTCCAGGCGTGAGGATCTCTGCGAATTCGCGGGCCTCCGAAGCGAGGCCCCAGAACTTTCGCGGCAAGGGCTGTCGAGGCAAAGCGGGCAGGCGGGGACCGGGAGAACCTGGAGAGCGGAGATCTGTGGGGAGGGGGATGAGGCCGGGATGAGGGCCTTAAGGGAGGTCTGAAGGAGGGCCTTCGAAGGTGTTGTTGTTGTTGTTGTTGTTGCTGTTGCCGTTGCTGCTGCTGCTGCTGCTGCTGTTGTTGTTGTTGTTGTTGTTGGAAATTGAGCCAGACCAAGGGCTAAGACCTAAGAATACAGCAGTATATACTAAGGCTTGTTTTGCGGATCCATGGTTTCTCTGGGCAGTTGAAGCTCGTCCCCCAAACTTCTGGACACCTGTGTTGTTGATGTGTGCGGGTATAGGCATGTTGAGTAAAAGGCATGGCAGGTTAACACTTTCGTTTGAGCATGTCGGCGGATGATGACGATGATGATGGAACGACGTATTTCTCCGGCAACAAATTGATTTTGTTGGATGTTCATCAACTTGTTAGAGGGCGCTTGGTACGGAAAAAGGACATAGCACCAGGATTGCTGTTGAGAGAGATAATAGCTTTAAAAACCCTATGATGGGTTCTTGGATGTCTTCAGGTCGTTGATGGCTTGGAGGTCGAAGTGTTCTCCACCTGAAAACATCCATCCGGAGGAATCCCATCTTTGTCCGACTCCCCGAGACAGGTGTTTGTGGCGCTTTTTGCAGCAGCCGGAGTCTAGGAGCCCGGTTCGATTCGGGGGTGATGCATTTGCGACGACCTCTGTGGACTCCAATGGAACTGGCAGAATTATCTACATTTGGGGTGGCTTCCGGGGTGAATCTATATTGTATTATATATATAGTATACGATATGCATACAATGCATATTGTATATTCACATCTGTTTAGGCATCTAATACTGTGAGTTTCCCAGATCAGGTCACAAACGATATGTCTAGCTGTGGGTCTCACACGGGATCCACTCCCAAGGCTGCAGCCTTCGCAAGTGATAGAGAGACTCATTTTTGGGCGGGATCAGGAACTCGTGAGATGCCTTGGTGTTTCTTCTGGAGTGCTTCGACTCGAGTTGTTCGTACATGTTAAGGCTGAAGATCAAGTAAAAGCAACTAATTACTGGAGATCCCAGAGCAGATCACAATTCTGCTATTGTTGTTCCGCTGTCTCTTTTTTTGAAGCACGGAATTCACGTTGGGTCATGTTGGGTTCCAAGAGACGTTTGTGCTTCGTTCCCTGCAACCTTTCGTCAAGTTTCGTTTCATACCGGACATTGATGTCGGCAGTGGTGGTGTACCGACCACATTGCACAGCGGAAGCGCAGGCGCAAGAATAAAGCGCCTTGGTGGAACCGCGGACGTGTCCAGGAACACGCTCTACCTGAAAATCTACACACGAGTACCTCAGGTGATGTGCCGGGAAGCTCAGACTGATTTGGGAGCTCAGACCGAGTGCGAAGAATTGGGCCCACAGGCGGGCCAAGAGAAGAGAAAGGCGAATCTTCGGTTTGCTGAGAATCGAGATGTAGATGGACAGCTGGTGGTTCCTAAAGCCTCTGCTTGTGTTCCACAAAGTGCTGGACTTGGATGGAGCTCTACGTTTCGATCAGTCCACTGACCGAGCTCATCGACGGGATACTTCCATAAACTTCCTAGGTTTCGATTTTATTCTCGTAACGTGACGAGAGAAGTTTCATATGGTCATATGGCTCCAATTCCTTACACTGTCCTTGATTCTCTATGAACCTTTGCCAAACATTTGCAGTGTTTCAGGCGCCCTTTTCGTGTCGCTGATCTTCCTCGTTCTTGGAGGAGGGTTCGCCTTTGCCATTCTCGTGCAGTGAGCAGAATCTGCCCTCCTCATGGTCAGCATGACATTGAAGACCGTATATAGAGGACAAATGTCTTCAGAAGGTTTATCTTCAATCTTCCATCGATCCAAGTCCACATTACAAGTGAAATCATGTGAATGACCAGTACAGCGTAACATCGCGCCTTTCTTCTTTCCTGCTTCCATGGATTTCAGCCGCCAACTCCTTCAGTCCAGGAGTTCTCAACTCCTTCAGTGGGCAACCCACCGAGGTGGACCGGATAGGGATGGGACCAGCGGCCCCTGGGACCAGCGGGGAAAGGGGTAGATGGGATGGATATGGATGGATCCCCAAATTCAGAGGCAGCCAGGTGACATTTACAATTCCTTTCCCTTTCAGGGAGTGCAAGACTAAACAATGGTCTGCCTGGGTGACCCGAGCGTTTCCAGGAACTGCCGGGGTGCAAAACATGAGGCAACTGCACTTCTAGGATTCTAGGAGCTCCAAACTCTGGTAGGTTGACCTCCTTAGTAGTTGATGGTGTTGAACTCTGGCGCAAGTATCGATCGGTGGTCAACCAGGGTTCGCCAGTTGAAAGACCCATTGCCATATGCGTTGCCACAGGCCATCCTCGTTCTTTTTTGCTCATCGAACATCGGTCTTTCAGCACCATAAGAAATTGGAGAGAGAGTCCTCATGTCTGATGGAAATGGCATTTGTTGGGATGTCTGCCATGAAAACCCCCCAAAAGACCAGCACTCCAAGGTATGTAAGCCAGTCAGTCTCAGGGAACATTTGTGGAAAGTGCCCGCTCAACTTCCTCTAAATTACATCACCCTGTGTTCGGTAGGATGGTTGAAGATGCTCCGACTTCAATTGGCATGGTAAGTGGGCCAAGGTTTTTTGGAAGAGTCTCACCGGATCTGGTCTTGAGCGCCGGGACTACGAGCTGCAAGGTATTGACAGTAGATCCATGCAGACCCTATTACAATACCACATAAATCATCATACATCTGTAGACTGGAAGACTTTGCCGCACTGGCGTTTTCATCACCCACCGGCGGCCACCATAGGTCGACAAGAGATGAAACAGACCCTTTCAACCACTCCAACATCCTCATGTTACGTGGATGGCGCCCCTGGAAAGACCATGAAATCCGAATACCAAACAGGCAATTGTCCACTTCCATGTTTGTTGGAGGGAGGATGGTCAGTTGATGTCTGTTGGTTGGATCCAAAAGCGTTCTTGCTGTGCTTCCAAGACCATGTTGGACCTGCTACAGTATGACACAGACAGACTAGTCTGAGTAGTCATACTCCCAGAACTTCCGTCTTGACTCATGAACCCCCCACCTGGGAGCCATCATCCACCAGTGAGCCGTTCTGACGACTCGCACCCTATCCACCCTGTCCAAAGAGCTCGTTTCAGTTCGTTAGGCGGTCCAATGATCAGCATTCCGTGGAACCAACCAGCCAGAGGGCTGAAAGCTGATGTTCTTCTCACTGTCCTGGAGGATCCTCAAGGATCTGGATGGAACACCGTGCAAGTCTTTTGGAACACCGTGCACAAGCATAGACAACTATAGAAAACTCTTGTCATCGACCAGTCTTATTTGTTCTAAGAACTGCACTAATTCGATCAGGTCAGGAGGTAAACTCTTTGCTGAGCTTCATAGCAGAAGTCGGATAGATGATAGATGGTATAACATATTGTAGTAAGCTTCAATGGAAAGGTGAATCTCCCTTCCAAAATATGATGAACGTCGTTTCTATCTCTTTCGGGGATCAGCATCGTTGCGTTCCGTTGATCCAAATGTGGTCGCCTCGTGGTTCTTCCACCACTGCCAGGTAGTCATCAGCTACAAAGCAGGGGAATCGACCAAGTCGTTCTCCATTAGCAAGGCCCTCACAGGCCTTGGTCTCACTCCGCGACGGCCGTTTGCGGCGATAATGGGGGAAGCTCCGACATCGGTGGACTCAAGGAACCCCTTTCCAAACATAAAGTAGTAACAAGAAGCTAGTAATAACAAGTGCCACGCTAGTAGTAACGGGTGCCTTACTAGTAGTAACAAGAAGCTAGTAGTAACATCTTGCTTTTGATGGCCCTGAAAGGCTCCAGCCTGGTCCGGTCAGTGGGGGTGGGGGGTGAGTCAAGGGTCCTTCGAAATCCGGCGAGTCAAGCTCGCGCGAGTTTGGGTGCTCACAGGGAGGTGAATCCCAACCTGGTAGTCGTCCATTCTCGGCCCATCCCCGGCGATTCTATTTTGATGTGGTTGAAGAGGCTATGACATCCCTATATATATATATATATGTACCAAGCCTCACAAGTTAAATCCTTTCACAAGAAATAGATCCCGCGTTCCTTTTTCTTTTTTAGCATTGCAGACTAAACTTCCTCTTCCGAGAGCCGTGTTCACTCCACAGACTGCACGCCCGATTTTTCATGTATGTAAACATATGTAGTAAACTGTCAATAGGGATGGGGTCCCAGTATAGTCGCTATACAGGTACATGCCATATACTTCTGGCTCAAGTGCCCAACCAGGTAAAAAGGAGCTTTAGCGCGCGAGCTTCATGTTGACCTAAGAGCTAGAACGGGGCCAGGGCACACCTTTCCATCCGTTCGCAGGTTATCAGCCGTATCCAGACTCCTTTGAGCTGGGTACGAGCTGCGGCCTTACACAACACCATCTGAACACACACGCATCGGATAGAACAGTTACCCTCAGTCACTGAAGATGGACCAATCCGACGCCAGCACTGCATCTTTTGGAGCAGCTGCTGCGGCCGCAGATCGGATGAGTGCATCCCACAACTCTAGTCCAGGTACGATCGAAGTGGAGACTCTGACAGCGGTGAGAGAAGATGCGACAGGTAGAGCACGAAGTCGTTCCCCGTCAGCGCACTCGACACCACCGTGGGGGACACCGAGATCAGGCCGTAGCCCTAGGGAGACGAGGAGGAGGACTGACACCGGAGCTGTGAGAGTGCTAGCATTGCAGGATGGGTCAGCTGTACCAGTGCCGTCGGACAGCGAAGCTGGAGATCGAGCAAGGGCAAGCACTGACAACCTACAACTAGCACGGGCCGATGGAGACCTGAATGCGAAGTGTGCGCAACTACTTGCCGAAGTGCATATGTTGAACCACCAAAACGCATGGATGGTCGAGTGTGAGCAGAGACAGAACCAGATTATACAACACGAGACCGAAGTCCACGAAGTAGTGATGGCACACCTCGAAGAATGTTATGTCGAAGGATATGGAAATCAACGAAGAATCACCCAACTTACAGAATCCAGAGACTGTTTGCTCTCAGCAGCACACGACCTGCAATACCAGATGGACACTGATCGTGTGGCAATGCGGGATCGTCTCACCCAGTTAGGGGAGTACGCTGATCGCAACAGCGCAGAGATGGTTAGTCAAGTCGTGAACATCGGCACGGAAGAGATCCAGGCTATATCGGCGGAAAGAGATCGAGCCGTAACCGAGGTCATGACTACAATCGCAGATGCTGAGAACGTCAAGGATCTATGTAGACAGGAGTTAGTTGGACTACAAAGGCAGAGTGCCAGAAACAAACACGAATATGCTGAAGAGATGAAGATGAGGGAAGCAATGTATGCAAACAAGATCAAATGGTTATCAGAAGAGAATGAGGAGCTCAACAACCGATCTAATACTCAGGACAAGTTCATCTTGAGCATCAGAGAGCAATTGAAGAAGGCGAACGAGGAGTTGACTCAGACGAGGATTCAAGGATCCGATCGACCGTTTCAACCATCCAGCGCCGAACTCAAGAAGGCCGAAGTCAAGGTGAACATGTTGGAAGAGGACATTCTACGTAAAGAGAGGATGCTGAAACGTCTTCAGGAAGAATTGATCGAATCAAGCGCAAGTGAAGCACAATTGAAGGTCGCACTGAAGTTGAAACCACCAGACATGGGATCAGAACCCAGTGTGGAGAATGAGATGATGACCAAGCTTAGAGCGGAACTTGAACGTACTGAAAAGTTATTAAGGTCCGAGGAGAAAGAGGCAATTGAGTACTACGAAGGTATGATGCAGAACCAACAGGACATGATGGAATTCGAAGCGCATGCATCACGGCTCAGAGATGAGAGGAATAAGTACCGGAAGAGGTACGAAGAGGAGCGCACAAGTGCAGAGAATGCAGCCGCAACCGAACATGGTGCCGCTTCATCCTCTAGCTCAGGCGGCTCCAAGATATCTCGGAAGGAACACGAGAAGATCAACATCCCTGCATGGCCCAAGATACACGACCTGGAGGTTTGGAAATCCCAGGTTGCAGCGGCAGTCGTGACGGCATCGGGCGACGAGAAACAGGAAGATTGGATCCAATGGCTCTCGGATGCCTTCAGATCACCATATGACCCATTTCTACTCGAGACATCAGGCGAAGCAAGATTCGCTAGCATAGACGCTAAGCTAGGTATCACCTTACATACGATCATCCACGCAGCAGGTGAGAGATCTCATGACGTACAACTGAAGGTGAGGCAGATGATGCAGAGACGTGCGAGAGGCACAACTCCTGGAATGGTCAAGGGACGAGAAATGTTAGCGTTGATCGTCGATAGTTTCCGAAGTGCCGACAACGTTGATGTGATGTATGCGTCCAAGCACTTATTCGATCTAAAGTTCCCTGGGGATAATCAACTATCCAGATTCCTTGGACAGTGGGATGAGATCATATCAGGTATGGATGCGGATGACATGCTTCCTGACAAAGCACTCCGCAACCTGCTTTGGGATAAGATTAAGGATTCCAAAGTTATGGCGTTAGACTTGTCTGTGTACGACAACATGTTGGATAAGGATCCGGATAAGACCTACCAGAAGTTACGAGAGATCATGACGAAGTGGATACGGAAATCAATTGAGACCACAAACAAGAAAGAAAGGGAAAAGGCTTTTGGGAACATCGTGAAAGCCACACCAGCGGCGGAGAAGAAGGACCCTAAAGCGAAACCCAAGAATACCAAGACCGATCCACCGAAACATGACGCCGCTCCAGTACTTCCTCAGGCTAATCCGAAGGACCACAACAAGAAGGACAAGAAGCAGGATCGTGGAAGATCAGCCACGAAGAGCCCAAAAGGGGATCGTGGCAGGTCAGCGACTCCAGCAGATACGTCCAAGATAGGATGCGCTTTCCACTTCCATGGGAAAAACGGATGTTCTAGAGGAGACAAATGCAAGTTTAGTCACCAAGAGAAGCACAAGAGTTCTGCTAAGAAACCAGAAAACCTCAAGGATGA